GACATTCATTGCAAAAGCATATTAGGCCGGCGCCGCGGCTCACTAGGCTAATCCTCCGCCTGCTGTGCCAGCACCCCTGGTTCTAATCCCGGTTGGGGTGCCCAATTCTGTCCTGGTTGCTCCTCTTCCAGTCCAGCTCTCTGCTGTGGCCCGGGAGTGCAGTGGAGGATGGCCCAGGTCCTTGGGCCCTGCACCTGCATGGGAGACCAGGAGGAAGCACCTGGCTCTTGGCTTCGGATCTGCGCAACGCGCTGGCCACAATGCGCTGTCCGTAGCGGCCAATTGGGGGGTGAACCAACGGAAAAAGGAAGACGTTTCTCTCTGTCTTTCTCTCTCTCTCACTGTCTAACTCGGCATGTCAAAACAAAAGCATATTAAATAATTCCTAGAATGTATAATATATTGCATATATCCATTCATTTGTATATATTGCCTAATAGATTTGTTAGTAGGTTGTTTGTAGATATAATGACTATATGTCCTAATTTACTCAAGATGGCCTCTTATATACCTTTAGTCAGGAAATAATTATTCAGTGACTTCTTTTTCCTGATTTGGATAGCAAATTTATATGATCACTCTCTGCAAAAATGAAGCATCATGTGAATTGTCATTAAGGCAAAAGAATTTATCTCATATCACATGAACTTATACTAAAAAATAAAATAGGAGGGTAAGTAGTTCATTTGGTAGGATGAAGGAAATGAAAAGATTTTTGAATATTAATATGAGAAGCATTAGTTGTCTTCTAATATCAAGTAATAGTTAAACTCTGAATTTGTATGTTTAAGATCGAACTCCAGTTCTAGAAATTCTTAGCTATAAAATTTTGGGCAATTTGCTTTCCTTACTGGAGACTTTTTTTTTTTTTCATTTGTTTAAAAGGAATAATAACAGTACCATGTGGGTTTCATGTGAGATATTAAATATAACTTTTTACACAGTGCTTTTCATATAATAAACACTAATAAGTGCTGCTAACTGTTAGTAATGTAAAGAGTAAAATCTTTCAAAAGTGGCATTGTTGGTTTCTTGTGATTCCAAAGCAGCAGAGTGACTCTGTACTGCAGCTGATCATTTAAATGTTGAACAGCTGGCTTAGAGTAGATGTAATTGCCCAGCTTCCGTAGTGTTGAGTGACCTGCCTCTATTTCATGCTGTTGTGTTTTGTTAATAAGGTTGTTGAATTCAAGACCAGATTTATATTATAAATATTCTCTGCTTTAAAAAAACGATTTATTTATTTGAAAGGCAGAGTTACAGAGAGGCAGAGGCAGAGAGAGAAATAGAAAGGTCTTCCATCCACTGGTTCACTCCCTAACTTGCCACACCAGCAAGGAGCTGGGCTAATCTGAAACCAAGAGCCAGGAGCTTCTTGTGGGTCTCCCATGTGGGTGCAGGGACCAAGCACATTAGTCGGGAGTGGGATGGAAAGTCAGGCACCCAGGACTCAAACGGCTGTCCATACAGGATGCCGGTGCCACAGCTGACAGCTTTTCCTGCTTTGCCACAGTGCTGGCCTTATGCTCTGCTACTTTTATTTCCTGCCAGGAATCTGAACGTAATGGATGAGCCATAAATATGTGGAAAAAAAGAACAAATTATGAATTTGGAGCTATCCAGGCAAATTATGATTTTTATAATTTTTGTAAATTTTAAAAACTATTTATGTAAAAGGCAGAGAGAGAAAGAGACATTTCCTATCTGCTGGTTAACTCCACAAATGGCTGGGGCTTGCCAGGCTGAAACCAGGAACCCTGAACTCCCTCTGGGTCTCCCACATGAGTGGCAGGGTCCCAGGAATTTGGGCCATCCTCTGCTGCATTCCCAGACACATTAGCAGATGATCAGATTGGAAGTAGTCAAATTGGTGCTCATATGGAATGCCAGCACTTGCAGGCAGTGGCTTAAACCCTGCACCACAATGCTGGCCCAGTTTTTCTACTTTGACAAAGCTTCTGATATACTGTTCGTTAGGTGGCACAAAGAATAGTTAGTTAATGAGTTTTCTACTAGTTAGTAAAGCTTTTATGTAGCTTTACCACTTAAAAATTCCAAATTGTAATAACTTTTAATACTTGCAATTTTTACTTCCTTAGTAATTGAGACTATCACTGTGATTACTACTGCAATGCTTAGCTTAACAAAAGGATAAAAAAAAAGTCCCATGTAAATTAGTTGCTTGAGGCAATATTAGAAGCCAAGTCTCTGAATTTCAAAGCCAGAATTACTTTGGCTTTTTCTTCTACTGTCTGTCTTTAATCATAGTGGTGTCATTTGAGAAAATATCTGATTATTTAATATTGTCTTCTACAATTGTAAAAACTACTTCAGAAGATAATTTGGGATTTCACTTGTCCCACTTCAAATATGTGTTTATTTTTGTAATAAAATGATTACCAATTCATATCTTCTTAATTCTTTTTAAATTTATTTACTTGAAAGGCTGAGAAGTACAAGAAATGGATGGGGTGGGAGGGAGACTGACTTTATCCACTGA